CATGGACATGTGAGTTACGATCCTGTAAGACCATGGACTATTTATGTGAAGGAAAGTTTAAAGTTTGGATTTCTGAACGCAATTTAAAGTGACATTGGGGTTGACGTTTGAGGTTATCAACCCTTCTATTTTTTATGGTTTTACTAAGGATTTGATTTTAAACTCAAATTAGCTCATTGCTACAAAAAAAAGGTGTTACACGCACCCATATTTAACTACTTTTTTGGTATACTTGGGATTTATTTCTTTATTCTGGGGGCGTGTAACATATTGTTTTCCGTCACAATTAATCATATTTGTTTCCTAGGTTTTCACGCACATCACTCATTAAATAAAACGAGTTTTTCACGGGTTAATGCAGAAACTTTATTTATTTATGGACGTTTATTTTTATTTCATTTTGTCGAACTACCTTCGAAAGACTTTTATTGAGCGTTCGGTTATTTCATTGTTCGATTTTTAAAGTTTTATTGTCTATGTATGAATTTATTACTTAATTTAGTTAATAAAGTACTTAATTTAAAAATCTTTTTTGTAATTTTGAATTTATTTATTTGACCCTAACTACCGTAAACTACCACCGGTTCCAAAATTGGGAGACCTTTCTGAGAAGAACCGGCGAAACAAACTCAAGAGAGGCTTTCTATGTCCTTCTTATGCTAAATTATGGAAACAAAGAGAAGTAATAGTATCTGTTGGTCTTGCAGTGTGTGTTCGGGGTTGGGATTTTATCTCCTGTATAATGGGTACCCAAGCTGGTGGCATATACCAACCATCTTCCCTATTGAAAATTGGATTTTTTTTTAATCTCAATAGCTCGCGTATCATTCTAGGAATGAATCGTTGCTCAGTTGCAAGGATCTGTGGTTTATCAAATCTAATGTAATGGTTTGGTCCCTAGGGGGATAAGTCTGCAGTGTGTGAACATGCATTAGGATGCATGTTCACACACTGCAGACTTATTTTCGCGCCTATGTTTCATATCTGCGATATGTTCTTTTACCCGAGTCCCTATACTCCTCTTTGTTTGCCCGATGTAGGAGAGCCCAAAGTCGCATTCAAGTTTGTAGACACCAGCAACTTGAAAGGGTATATTGCACTTGACCGGTCGTAGAAACTGGTTGATCTTCTTTGGCGGCTTGAAGTAAGTATTGATTGAAGCACGCTTCAGAATCCTCCCAATCTTGTCAGTGACTCCTTTCATGTAAGGTAGTATAGCATGTTGTCGGTAGACTGTGCTAGGTTTGGCGCGACTGTGACGGCGACGTGGTACATTCAGATTATTATCCTTCAGTACTCGCTCGACATGCTGAAGTTCGGCTGCTAGGTGTTGTTTGTCACAGAGACCCCGTGCTCTCTGAAACAAAGAGTTTCCTACGGCAGTTAATTGTTTCGGGTGATGGTGTGAGTCACCATTGAGGTACCTATAAGTATGAGTCACTTTACGATACACAGTATGACTTCAACTTTGGTCAGGATTCCTAATTTATAAAATATCTAGAAACTAGCTTACTATCTGCCTCTAACTCCATAGTAAATAGGATGTTGGGGTGTATAGAGTTAAGGTGATTTAAAAAGGCAGAAATTTGATCTGTTGGGAGGATTGTGAAAGTTTCATCTACGTACTGCTTATATAGCCTGGGTGTGACAGGTGCCACGCTGAGAGCCCTCTTCTCGAAGTCTTCCATGAAAATATCGGCGACAACAGGTGAGACAGGGGAACCCATCGCAACGCCCTCCATTTGTACATAGAAGTCATCCCTCCATAACAGGTAGCCAGATGTAAGGCAATGTTCTAGTAATACTGCATATTCTACAGGCATATTATTTTCAAGTAGCTTCTTCTTAGTGATTTCAGTGCAGTCCCGTATTGGTAGGCATGTAAATAAGGACTGAACATCAAAACTGACCATGATTTCATTGTTCATGAGACGTTGATCTCTAATCTCATTGACAAATTAGTATGAATCTTTTACAAAGGCTGTTGTGTTACCTCTCAGCGGTGAAAGTAAATTTGCTACGTGTTTAGCCAAACGGTATGTTGGTGAATCAATCTGGCTTACAATCGGACGTAGCGGTGGTTTGGGACACCAAGACTGTATGGGTTACCGAAAATACACAAACCGAATGCTCCGCTACGTCCGATTGTAAGCCAAATTGATTCACCAACTTACCGTTTGGCTAAACACGTAGCAAAGTTACTTTCACCGCTGAGAGGTAACATAACGGCCTTTGTAAAAGATTCATACTAATTTGTCAATGAGATTAGAGATCAACGTCTCATGGACAATGATATCATGGTCAGTTTTGATGTTCAGTCCTTATTTACATGCCTACCAGTACGGGACTGCATTGAAATCACTAAGAAGAAGCTACTTGAAAATAATATGCAGTATTACTAGAACATTGCCTTACATCTGGCTACCTGTTATGGGGGGATGACTTCTATGTACAAATGGAGGGCGTTGCGATGGATTCCCCTGTCTCACCTGTTGACGCCGATATTTTCATGGAAGATTTCGAGAAGCGGGCTCTCAGCGTGGCACCTGTCACACCCAGGCTATATAAGCGGTACGTAGATGATACTTTCACAATCCTCCCAACAGATCAAATTTCTGCCTTTTTACATCACCTTAACTCTATACACCCCAACATCCTATTCACTATGGAGTTAGAGGCAGATAGTAAACTAGCTTTTCTAGATATTTTATTAATCAGAAATCCTGACCAAAGTTTAAGCCATACTGTGTATCGTAAAGTAACTCATACTGATAGGTACCTCAATGGTGACCCATACCATCACCCGAAACAATTAACTGCCGTAGGAAACTCTTTGTTTCAGAGAGCACGGGGTCTCTGTGACAAACAACACCTAGCAGCCGAACTTCAGCATGTCGAGTTAGTACTGAAGGATAATAATCTGAATGTACCACGTCACCGTCACAGTCGCGCCAAACCTAGCACAGTCGACCGACAACCTAATATACTACCTTACATGAAAGGAGTCACTGACAAGATTGGGAGGATTCTGAAGCGTGCTTCAATCAATACTTACTTCAAGCCGCCAAAGAAGATCAACCAGTTTTTACGACCGGTCAAGTGCAATATACCCTTTTAAGTTGCTGGTGTCTACAAACTTGAATGCGACTGTGGGCTCTCCTAAATCGGGCAAACAAAGAGGAGTATAGGGACTCGGGTAAAAGAACATATCGAAGATATGACAAATAGGCGCGAAAATAAGTCTGCAGTGTGTGAACATGCATTAGAGGGACCCAACCATTACATTAGATTTGATAAACCACAGATCCTTGCAACTGAGCAACGATTCATTCTTAGAATGATACGTGAGGCTATTGAGATTTAAAAATATCCAAATTTCAATAGGGAAATGGTTGGTATATACCACCAGCTTGGGAACCCATTATACAGGAGATAAAATCCCAACCCCGAACACACACTGCAAGACCAACTGAGACTATTACTTCTTTTTGTTTCCATAATTTAGCATAAGAAGGAGATAGAAAGCCTCTCTTGAGTTTGTTTCGCCGGTTCTTCTCAGAAAGGTCTACAAATTTTGGAACCGTTGGTAGTTCACGGTAGTTAGGGTCAAATAAATAAATTCAAAATTACAAAAAAGATTTTTAAATAAAGTACTTTATTAACTAAATTAAGTAATAAATTCATACATAGGAAATAAACCTTTAAAAATCGAACAATGAAATAACCGAACGCTCAATAAAAGTCTTTCGAAGGTAGCTCGACAATATTAAATAAAAAATTGATTCCGACGACGACACAGCCTGTAAAGGCTGCGAAACGTCAATAAATAAATAAAGTTTCGTGCATTAACCCGTGAAAAACTAGAATTAATCATATTAATTTTTGTTTCATCAGCGAAAAGCACATGTTTCCATTCTCGTTTAGTCCAGTGTCCATATTTTTTAGCAAATGCAAATCTTGCCTTAATCTTTTGCTTTTTTAAAAGTGGCACCTTCCGAGTCACTCTTCCGTACAAGTTTGCTTCACATAGTCTCCGTCTAATTGTTCTAGCAGACACACCCTTGGACCCTCCTGCACCAAACAACTCCGAACGTATCAGTTCTGATCCCTTGAACGGATCTTTTTTTGCCAACAACACCATCTTAGAGTCTTCCTGCGGAGTAGTTTTTCTTGGTCTCGGTTTTCTAGGTACGTTCCGGTCGTGTTGAACTTCTTGAAATGTTTTATAGCATTCATAACCATATTTTTCTGTATGACCAATCTTTATTATGAAAGTTGAAAATAATCTTCCTAGTGGACGAATCGCAACTCTTGTTTTTTCCCATATTGGGAAAAAACAAGATTTGGGTTTAAAACGTATTAACTTTAATTAAAAAAAATAGGTTTTTTATGTAATATCGACGTTTCATGAAAATAAGCGGCAAAACAAAGAAAAACAAAATGCAGTTCTTTCTTATTTTTTTTTTAATTCAGAACACAGATTTTACTGTCTTTAATAAGCTGGCCAGCTACAAGTACGCTAAAAAAGTTTGTGTTATGTTCCCTTAATGAGCAGTGTCTAAACTACTAACGAACACAACTATTTTTGTCCCACATTGCATTGTAAGAATACAACGTCCTCGTGTATAGTTTAATAACAATTACACTAGATTAAATACCAATTTTAGATAATTTTAGTATCATAAGTAAGTTTTTTGTGGTCAATTAGGGAGTGTCTTTAATTATGTGACCACCACTGTATATGTCGAAGAATTATTTGATAAATCGAATTTTCGTAAAAATCCTAGACATTTTGCAATAACGTGGATAATTATACAATGGCGATGAAATGAGATCGCATCACACCATCGTACGATCGTTGCCAATTTAGGACGATTCATTATATGTAGTATAATCGCTTTAACAAATTATTCAACAAAACAACGACCATCCACTTCGTCAGTTAAGCATTAAAACAAATATACATTGTAAAATCAAATTGAGTTTTCTCGATAGCTCACCTGCGATCTATACTCAGGCTGCATCAAAACCTTGGCCCAATGATGCGCCTGGTGCTTGAGGCCGGCGCGACTACACTCGATCACGGCCGACGTCAAAATGGACACTTGATCTGAACAAAGATACTACAAATAGGGATTCTTCATCTATCAGGTAGATTATCAAAAGTATTGGACACGTATTTTTTCTTTATTCACACAATCAAAACATTAAAGAGTAATATTGATTTGAAATGTAGCATGACGTCACGCCTTAGTACAATTTTTACATAAACGTGACGACACGAGCCTCCATTTCCAAACTTTGACAACGATGTTTTATGTTAACCTTCCTCTGGATGCCTTCAATACGAGATATGTAGGTGGAATATCTAGGATTCCTGAGATGCATACTCCAGATGACTTCTGACAAAGGTACAATATAGAATTTTAAGTGTCTTGGCGCTTAAGTCTTTGGAGTTGCGCATAATAAACCCGAGGGCATAAGAGTTTTTCGCGATCGCGTTTTTAATATACGTATCGAAAAGAGCATGAAATACAACAAAGTTTCTCACAAATATTTCACGTTTTAATTGGGATTGTTTTAGTTTGTAGTCAAACAATGCCATATTTCGTTTCCGACTATAAGTGACAACACTACATTTAGAAGGATTACGATCTAAATGATTGCTTGAACAGTAGCTATCAAGCCGCACTAGATCTTCATGTAACAGACGTGCTTTCTCAGACGTAGAGATAGAAGTAGTGCATTATCTTTGTAATTTTTCGGTTGATTGACAAAAGAAAAAATAGGTATGTGTCATCAGCCTCTTTTTTAAATAAGCGTAAAATATTGTCGGTTTAATAAAAAGTGGCGTTATCTATAGTCGTGCTTCAAGTGGTTTCTCATTTCTAGAAAAGAAAGAGGAAGCAATGGTACAGCCAATACCTTTACAAACTTTTAACGACGTCCTTGGCTCGAGTGGTATACGAGCCGGTTTTCAAGGTGTCGTCTACTCAGAGGTCTTGGGTTCGAATCCCAGGTGCAAATGTTTGCGTGATGAATACGATCATTTGTACCTAAATCCTGAATGTTCCGTTACCATAGTATCCCATAACAAGCCTTATAGTGCTTACTTATACTTTGGGGCTAGGCTAATTGGTGTGCAATTTTTTTAACTTTTGACCGCACGATTGCTTCGTCTCTCTCATGCTTATATGTCCATTTTTACTTAACAGTGGAACGCTGTACTGCCCTACTAAACGCAAAAGCGGTATCTCAAAAAAAAACAAAAATTTGATTTTTATTGCATCGGATAGCTTAGAAAAATACGCATCTATTGAACTAAGCCTTAAAGCGGTATGCTATTTAAAAGGTATAGAAGTACAGTGCATTCAACTCACATCATAGCGCGCGGTCATCAGTTTACTTACTGACCCAGTTTATTTTGTGCAATAAATTGAATTATAATTTATTTAAGTTAATACACATTCGAACACCATTCAAACCGAGTGTGCTCATACCATTACCGTTTACCATTTTTTACCAGTTTTAATATACACTCCCGGACTCTTGAATCGAGCCACCTTACATTCCCGGGCCTAAAAGCCCAATACACAAAAAATATACAATATAACAAAAAAGTTTTTATGCATTTTTAATGCTGGCATATTTCATCGTCTTTCCTGTATGTATTATCCCAAATTTGAATTTTAGAATTTAAAATAAAGAACAAAAGTCGAGCTAGGTCACTGATTTGAAAAAAATAATGACTGTTGGAAGTTGCTTTTGAAGCAATTTAATGTCGATTTGGTTTGAATTTTCGCAATTTTTGTAAACCAAAGTTTAGTTTTGTTATTTTTCTATAATTTGAACCGTTTTTGACTATAAAATTATGGATACTTCACCTGAAGTAGCCGCGCAAGCTGTAGCAGTTCTTCAATCTGGGCTTAGTCAGAGAGATGTGAGTTCACAACTTCCCATAAGTCGTTCCGCTGTTCAAAGAGTGTACCACCGATACCTGGAGACTGACGGCTTCGTTCGGCGAACAGGAGGACCTCGTTACCGAGTGACAACAGCGAGACAAGATCAATACATTGTCACTACTAGCTTACGAAATCGACGCCTTAACTCTGTTCAGATACAAGAACAGCTCAGGAACTTTCACGGAGTGGCTGTAAGTGCTCGGACCGTTAGAAGGCGACTCAATGAACGTGGTTTAAAGCCCTATAAGCCAGCCAATGGACCCAAATTGATACAAGCACACCGAATAGCGCGTCTAGAGTTTGCGCACGAACATTTAAATTGGACTCTACGTCAATGGAGCCAGGTTCTCTTCACAGATGAGTCCAAGATAATGCTATACGGTAACGACGGAAGGAGTAAGGTGTACCGAAGACAGAACGAGCGTTTCGCGCAATGCCGTATTGACGAGAAAGTGAGTTATGGTGGAGGATCATGGACAGTCTGGGGAGGAATCTCTATGGAAGGCAAAACTGAGCTAGAGGTAGTGACGGGACTACGACTGCCGCCCCTAGATGGCAATAGATACATTCGCCAATGTTTAGAGAACCACGTGATGCCATATGCTGGATTTATTGGCCAAGATTTCGTTTTAATGCATGATAATGCAAGGGTCCATACTGCGGGAATCGTCAGGGAGTACTTAAATGGCATAGGTAATTGGTATCACTGTTATGAGATGGCCAGCGCGAAGTCCTGATATGAATCCTATAGAGCATCTATGGGATGAGCTGAAGAGGCGTGTTCGAGCTCATCATCCTGCCCCGCAAACCATGCAGGAGCTCAAAAATGTAATTTTGGAAGAATAGGAGGACATTCCTCAACATGTCATGACGACATTGATTAGTTCTATGCCAAACCGTATGAGAGCTGTCATAAATGCACTGGGGGGCAATACAAGTTACTAAATAAACATTTCTTTTCATGTAAAACATGTCTTTATTTAAAAATCGATTAGATTTTTTTCCTTGAAAAAAGCAAATATGGACTTTTTTCAACGTAACTCGACTTTTTTAATAAACTGTAGTTCAAATTTAGAACAGTGGCACTCTAAATGAATGATGAGTATACCAGCTTCAAAACTGCATCAAAACATTTTCCTTCTACATACATCTTTTATAAGTTACAGTACTCCAAACCAAAAAAATCAAGGTGGCTCGATTTAGCTGTCCGGGAGTGTATTACGACATTTATTCTTTTCTTTTATTTTACATTAATTTGTGGAACTTACACCCTACAAATTTAATCCTTCGAACCTTCGGAAAGGTGGGACCTGCCGCGCTGTGAACTTTTTGCACGTGACGTGTCAGTGACTATCTTTCTGTGTAACCACCCCTTATTCGGAAATATCTTTTCCGAATCGAACTAACCAGTGAGTGACAGTGTAGCCAACCAGCAACTGGACTGTCATTCTTCACCATTTACCAGTTGTAAACAAGAGATTTTCAAGTAAGATCTTTCCTTTTTATTTACCTTAAATACTCACCACTTACCAACATGAGTACCAAGATGGAATTATTTGCTGCCCAAAAGGAGATCATGGAGAATATGAATAAATTGTATATTAACTTTAAAAAAGAAGATAAAGAACGTAAAATTAGGGAAAGCATTAAACGTCGCTTACAGACCTTGAAGAGCTTCTGGTCCGATTTTTCTTATAACCATGAAAAGTTGATAAGCATTTGTGACGAAACCGAAGATAACCAGTACTTCGAAGACGACGACTACAACAAGACCAGAAAATTTTATGAAGATGTGCAAAATTATTTATTGGAGAAGATTGGAAGAGAAATTGTCACCATCACCACAAATTTCTCCATCTCCATTACCAAGAGTTGGAGAAACTCAACAACCACCAGTACCAGTACCTTCTTTATTAACCAACAACTATAATGATAATCCTAGTACTTCTGCACTAGGCGTACCCCCACCAGTAACCACACCAAAACCAAATCTACCAAGATTTGTCTTCCATGATGTCGACGCACCAAGTAAAATAGACGAAATGATGCGAAAGCAGCAAAGTAACTTTAAGGCGTTTATCCGTACTATTTCGAATATTAATCTCAATCTTTTATCAGAAAAATGGGAATTCCAAGATGCTTTGAAGTCAATAGAAACACGTTGGGCTGCCATAGATACTCTCCACTGGGAAATTGATAGTAACATAACATTAGAAGATAAAAAGTATGAGGAACTTTATTCCAGCTATGAAATAAAAAAGACCATAAACAGCAAAATGTGGATGCTTGCCACAGAAAAAATTCCACACCACAAATGGATATACCAATTTTCAGCGGTAACTACCAACAATGGATTTCCTTCAGATCTATTTTTAGAATCTATCCATAAGAATAAATCAAAATCTGAAGCCCAAAAAATGCAATTTTTGAAGAGTAAGCTACGAGGAGAAGCCGAAAAGCTTATTCAGCATCTTCAAATTAGTTCCGACATTTACCAAACTTGTTGGGATATTCTTAACCAGAGATACAATAACAAAAAATTGATTTTTAACTCACACATGCATATACTAATGTCCTTACCAGATGGCCGTTACGTCGTTAGATTACCAATGAAACCAGCTATTGCTCAATTTTACCACTTAGAAAATAAATTTCGAAAAAATAACCAAATAGCAACTGATTATAAACAGTTCATGAATGAATATTTACATCTTGGCCACATGATAAAGAGCCTTATTAACAAAGCCGATGAGTACTTTTTGCCTCATCATTGTATTATTCGCCCCGAGTCTACGACAACTGCAATCCGAGTCGTATTCAACGGATCAGCAAAATCGTCCACTGGCTATAGTGTCAATGACTTAATGTACAGTGGACCAAATCTACAACATGACATCTTGAACATTATAATAAAATGGAGACAGTTTAAAATAGGTTATGTAGCGGATGCAAAAAAGATGTATAGACAGATTCTTATTAACGAATTAGACCAACATTATCAAAAAATTGTATGGAGAGATTCCCAAAATGAACGTTTATGCGAATAATAATTAACAACCGTTACCTATGGAACCAAGGCTGCACCATTTTTAGCACTGATGACCATGAAGCAGTTAGCTAAAGATGAAGCTCATAGGTACCCAGAAGCAACCAAAATTTTAGAAAATAATCTATTTATGCACGATATTCTTCACGGGTAGCATTCAATAGAGTCAGCTATCAAACTACAAAAAGGATTAATATCATTATTTAAAGCAGGCGGATTTAACCTAAGAAAGTGGAAATCTAACGCACCAGAGTTAATGGAAAATATGTCGAATGATAGCATGGTAATCACCAGTCATTTGATTTTAAACACAAGGAGTCAACCAAAACTCTTGGGTTAAAATGGGTTCCACTAGATGATAAATTTACGTTCGAGAGCAAAATTTTACCACATCCAGCTTCCCAAATAACCAAACGGGAACTATTATCAGAAATTTCGAAGGTGTTTGACCCTCTCGGGTGGCTTTCTCCAGTGACCATTAAACTTAAACTCTTATTTCAGTCAATTTGGCAACTTGACCTAAAATGGGATAACATCTTACCAATGAACATTAACCAAGATTGGAACCAATGTAAACAAGATCTGCAACTTATCAGCGAGATTCAAATACCAAGATGGTTGAACTGCAAAGAAAATGATAAAATAGAATTGCACGGATTCTGCGATGCTTCAACCAAGGCTTACGCTTGTGTGATTTACTGCAAGATACAACAAAACCAAGGAATTTCTGTAGTAATAGTAGCAGCGAAGTCCAGAGTAGTTCCAATCAAAAAAGCTGTAACCTTACCAAGATTAGAACTGTGTGCTGCACAATTGATGATGGTTTTGGTGTTAATGAAATCCATACAAAACTGTCTCTCGGAACAACAATTAACCACATTTGGGTGGTCAAACGTCACAGCAGTCCTGGGGTGGATTAATGGTGACCCTAGCCGCTGGAAACCTTTCGTGGCCAACCGAGTTATCCAAATAACCGAGATTATACCACCAAACCATTGGAACTACGTAAAATCTAAGAAAAATCCTGCAGATTGTGCCAGCCTAAGTATAAAAGCTGTACAACTAAATAACCATTCTCTTTGGTGGATTGGCCCTGATTGGCTCTTAACAAGTTAACTCAAGAAGAGGTCAAAAAACAATACCAAGACAATGTAACTACCAAACCATATGAAAATAGCGTCATCGCTCACTTGATCTCAAGTCATAGCAATTTTACACGAGTGTGTCGCATTACTGTGTGGATATTACGCGCAGTCTCACGTGACCATAATAAACCAACTTACCTAGCCATTGGCGAGCTTAAAAAGGCTAACAACATATTAATCAAGCATATACAACAAATGAACTTTTCAGAAGAAATTAATTATCTTAATAACCAAACTCAACTAAATTCAAAAAGTCGATTATTACCATTATATCCATACTTTATCTAAGTTTACCATTACAAAAGGAAAATAAAATAAATGCGGTGCAATGGTGGTGGTGCTACAAGGTAAATAAACTAGTTGGTGCATTTACATGGTAAAGGAAACATAATTATAACTTAAAGAACAGAATGTATATAACTTAATAACTTAAGAAACTTCATTTAACTATAGTCTCTATTCCACTACACTGAAATTAAAAGAATTAGGTAGTCTCACTCTATTCACTCTAGCATACACTGGTTCACTGTGGTCAGTGTTATATTGGTCACTTATAACAAAACACTGGTTATTATTTCCACTGTGAGACGGAGCAGCAGTGGTCGCACTAGTCGCGCGATTGGCGCGGGTGCGGGCACGGTGGGGGGTGTGCAAACCGAGTGTGCTCTTAACATTACCATTTACCATTTTTTACCAGTTTTAATATATTACGAAATTTATTCTTCTCTTTTATTTTACATTAATTTGTGGGACTTACACCCTACAATATAAAAAAAACGTTAAATCACTTTTACCTTAAATTACTAAGGATATTAGAGGAATATCAATACAACGTAGGAAACCAGCCGTATATTGAAATACAGCCAAACATATCTAATATTATATATAAACTAGCTGATTCAGCGAACATCGTACCGCCATAAAAATAGGAGAAAATTTAGGGTTGTATGTATTTTTAAATAACACATTATAAAAAAATAAATATTGTCCACAAAATTTTTTAGGGGTGTGTAACGTAGTGTTCTGTCAATTTCCTGGGATAACATTCCTCCTAACCCATATGAGAACACTCCGTTACAATACCCAATAGTTTGAATTCTGGCGCGAAGGCGCATTGTAGGTTTCAGAACACTACGTTGCAGGTGGACAACAATTATCACTAAGGATATGAAAAATAGATAGTAGCCGATTCTCATACCCACGGAATATACATATAAAATTTCATAAAAATCGTTCAGGCCGTTTCGGAGGAGTATGGATACTAACACTGTGACACGAGAATTTTATATATAAGATTATATTTAATAATCAAAAATAACAATCTATAAATTAACGAGAAAAGGAATTTTACATAACGTCAATTATATCGAAACTAGCTTTCATTGAGATACCGCTTTTGTGCTTAGTAGGGCAGTGTATGTATAATACTTACGTTGTAGGGTAGGAAAAAAGGACACGTCGGCAGCTGTACGCAGTAGGAGACGAGCGGCGAGGTCATGCCGGCCACGCTTCACGTGAGTGCGTACCTAAACAATACATTGGCATTGACAATATCGAAATGAAATAAAATTATACTTTATTCAAATCAACTTATTGAAGGCTCTCTTGAATCGTCTAATATTTTTTTTACTGGTTAGCTGATGATAAAAATAGGCACAAGAAACTCATTAGCATTGAACAGAAGTGGCAACATTTACATAAAATCATGTCGCTACCAATGCAACGTCCACTCACATTATGATTACTGTGTCATGCAGTTTTAATACAAATAAGGTTTATTACATAACATTTCGATAGTAAAGTAGTATAGAGCAGACTATCTCCACTGGCAGCATCCGTTCCCGAGCATGACGCATGAACCAGCCATCGCGTCGCTCCACCATATTTTTGGGATCGTAACGACCCGCCTCACTCTACACCACCGAAGACATTTTAATATCAAGGTTCATATTTGTAAGAAATTTTACTAGAAAAAGATTCCAGGTGCTAGGCCGGCCGGCATCTTTGTTGTTGGTGTCTTTCGCTATATGGGCGGATTCACTAACCGTTATTCTACACAGACCTTAATGACCTAGGAAAGTCCTATTGGCCAACTGATACTGATAAATTTTCAAATTATGTCTCACTAGCCGCATGGGACTGATACCGATATATAAAAAAACGAGCGAGCCTTACAGTAGTCGCGTATGATGTGTTACATTTAAAACCTCACCTTATATTCATAAAAAAGGAAATAAAACCTACTGCAAAAGGAATAAGCCATTTGAACATTATGTTCTAAAATCAAATCAAATAGCGCGCGCTTCCGCGACTTCCTGTTACACACTTCCGTCCCCTTTCACGAAATCACTCCCACAAATTGCAGGAAAGCGAGAGGAAAGATGTTAGACATAAAAAACTTTTTAAATTATATAATTTCCATTAGCGGCTTCCCTATGTAGCCCGCGAGCGCTGATCAGACATGACAGTGAAACACAGCACATTGGGCTGTGCATTGACACTATCATGCGCATTGCGCTACACACACACACGCACCAGGATGTAGTAGCGTGCAGGCGCGGCACATGTTCTGTGGCACGAGCAGGCGGCACGGGCAGACACAAACAGACACACACGCACGCACGCACGCACACACACACACACACGCACCAGGATGTAGTAGCGTGCAGGCGCGGCACATGTTCTGTGGCACGAGCAGGTGGCACGGGCAGACACAAACAGACACACACACACGCACGCACGCACGGACACACACACACTCACCAGGATGTAGTAGCGTGCAGGCGCGGCACATGTTCTGTGGCACGAGCAGGCGGCAAGGGCAGACACAAACAGACACACACACACACACACACACACACACACACACACACACACACACACACACACACACACACACACACACACACACACACACACACACACACACACACACACACACACACACACACACACACACACACACACACACACACACACACACACACACGCACCAGGATGTAGGAGTGCAGCAGCGCGCAGGCGCGGCGCATGTCCCGGGGCACGGGCAGGCGGCGCGCGCGTAGTGCACAGCACATACCGCGCGCCACGTCCCTAGCTTCACGGTACCGTCCGCGGGCACATTCCGCACCGATTATAATCACCTGCGAAGAATAGAAAAATGCACCGAGGACCCCTTTTTTTATTTAAAAATATGTGCCGAACAACAGTATTAAACGGACATACTTCCTACATAAAACAAAAACTTAAAGTATTATATTGTACTAGCAAACCAGTGAACCAAATGTTCACCAAAAAAAAAATGTATTTAATTAATTGAGAACTTCGGAGATTTTGTGTGGTTTCGTTTGAAATAGAAATCGCGTGATTTCTCGAAAACCGGAAGTGCTACGTTACTCACATCCGGTTTGTAGTCTTATCAGACTATTCTTAACTAATAACTAAAACATTCTCTATATCTATCTCTTACGGTTTGGCCGCTGAAACAGCACCACGGACGGACGGACGGACTTATCTAATAGATAAGAGATAAGTGTTATACGTTTTATGTAAAAATTATAACGTGAAAATGAAAACATGTACCGGGAATGTAGATACGAATAGAAAACAAGGTTGGATGTCAAAGATCGCGATGTAAATTGCTGAAAAACAATCAAGTACTTTTAAGTTGAACGAGCTATATGCTTTGTTGCTACTCTTCAACGCGCAAACATATGACAAACCAAAACTCAAGAAACCCAATAAATTGCGATTCATTTAACTTACCGCAGTCTTCGCTGCCTCTGTGAACTGTCTTTTAGCCATGTACAATCTGAACAGATGCCGAGGTTCACGAGGCGTGCCATCAGTTTCTCCGAGCAAAAACTCTATCAACCTAAAAAACATTAAATAAACATTTTACCAAGCAAGCTTAAATAGTCATCATCGAAATAAAAATAGTTTGCTTATTTACATTAAAGTTGCCATTGACAAAGTTATTGTGGGTTACGGAAAATGCGAATTGATGGCGCTGCATTGCAGCCTAAGAAATACTTAAAGAAATTCATTCAAACATGTAGCAGTTAAATGCTTAAAAATAAAAATATAATAAACTACATTAAAGTTATTAGTCAAACTGACCTTCTCGACAATCTGTCATCATCGCTCGCCGCAGCTGCATCTATAGCCACGCTGATAGCCTCATTTTCTTCTTCTTCAGAACCTCCAGTCTTCAGTAAATGCGACATCGCCTTACTATATTCACCAGCGTGAAAATAAAACTTCCCCGCTAGCAAATTACTTTTCTCCCCCTCAAAATGTAGCGCTAGGCTCTTGAAATCCTCAGGCCTCGCCTGTGAAGTCTGTATAAGTATCTCTCCGTACAAATGCAGTTTGCCATTCTTACGCGCCAACTGAAAAGCTTCATCGTAACACAAGGACATAACTAAGAATTTGATTGCCGAAGTCGGATCGTCGATGTTCTGGAAATAGTTCGCTACCATCTTCGCACCTTGTACCGATTTAGTTTCTTGTACCAAATTCACTGCTTCGTCGATGTCATCAAGCTTTTCCAAATTCAAGCGTATGGCTGATTCAAAGTCTTGCGCTTTCATGAAGGACTTCAAGGCGTCCGTGTATCTGCCCTCCGCTTCCTTTGCTTTAGCGTATTGTATGTGTATGCTGGGAGAATTGATTTTGGGCAGTAAAGCTTCTACTTTGAGCCAGGATTTAAGTTTAATGTATAGGGCAGCTGCTTTCTCCGTATTGCCGGCGTGGTCGTAAAGTGCCGCCGCGTGGCTGTACTGCTTCTCTTCTTCAAGGAGCTGAGCGCAATCTTTGAGCAGTGAAATGTCGTTTGAATGTTTCATGGCAACTGTGACTCCTCGCATGACGTCGCCGCAACGAATCGACATGCGGGCAATCCCCGCTTCACACTTAACATTGTGTTCTTTAACCTTCGCATCTTCCGCGTTGTCCGAAAACAAGCTTTTTTCATAATTCGCTAGTGCTTCATGGTAATCTGCACTGCAAGAGAATAGACATTCATATTTGAAATTAACAATTAAGAAGTAATCATGAAAGCATAATATAAATAAACACAAAATAATGATATTGACATTGATACTGTCTGGCTGACGTGAGTTCGACTGGTCGTCAGTGATGAAATTTATTACGATAATATGTGGATAAATGGCACAATGATAGCAAAAATCCCACAAAACCAAGACGTCGAAAGTTTGCCGAGCAGTGTCTATCAATGCCAAACTATAGGGAGCGCGTGGTGAGTACCACGCGCTCCCTATACTCGTGCTAGCATGTGCTGTTTACGTACACCATAAGAAAAAAGAAATGAAAATCTTTTGATTATCCTATATACACAATAACAGGGATGTAGAGGAAACGAAATTCAAGTCCGTCAGTGAGTATCCTTTGTCAATGAACTAAAAAAAAGACGAAGATAAAGCGTGTTTAAGTTTGGGAGTGGGGGCTCGTGACGTCACGTTACATCTATGTAAAAATTGTAGCAAGACTTGACGTCATGCTACATTTAAAATAAAATGAATATTCGCTGTAATGATTGATAATGTGAAAAAAATACGTGTAGGAAACTTTTTGATAATGTACCTTGTAAACGAAAGAAAGATTTAGTCATCTCTATTATAAAAAAAAATAAGTATAATTAACATTACGTACGTGAGTTCCAAGTGGTGCGCCCTGTGCAGCAGTATGTAAGGCGCGCGCGCAGGACAACAACGCGAGGCGATGTCCCAAGCCCGCGCCCAGTCCCCCAGCGCCGCATGCAGCTCCAGCGCGTAGGGCGCCGCCCCCGCGCCCCCGCCCCCGCCCTCCAGCCACCGCCCCGCCGCCTCGCCCTTGCCCAGGCACGCACACAGCACGCCGCTGTACAAACACGCCCATCACACTATATAGAGCGCGGGTGCAGCTCCAGCGCGTAGGGCGCCGCCCCCGCGCTGCCGCCCCCTCCCTCCAGCCACCGCCCCGCTGCCTCACCCTTGCCCAGGCACGCACACAGCACGCCGCTGTACAAACACGCCCGTCACACTAGCTCCAGCGCGTAGGGCGCCGCCCCCGCATCCACGCCCCGCCCTCCAACCACCGCCCCACCGCCTCGCCCTTGTCCAGGCACGCACACAGTACGCCGCTGTACAAACACGCCCGTCGCACTATATAGAACGGAAGCAAACCTCTGTGGGTCTTGGCTGGCGTCCTGGGAAGCCCGGGCAACGACAGTCAAGACACTTGTGGAGGGGGCGGCAACGCCCATTGTTGTGGTGGTGCGTCCGTTTGCGGACAAGACGGTTGTGATGTGAAACTCGCGTCACTTCCGGCCGACTCGTAACCCCGCACGTGGTGTAGGGCCACGAGGAGAAAAAATCTTTAAAAAACCATTGAAGTAAACCAGGTAGGGTTCCCTCGCTCGGAAGAGGGACATATCATATGAAAGAGTCCGACAAAGCGTTCTCTTTGTCATGTGATCCCGCTGACACCGGGCGCCCTGGGGAAGCTCCTACCCAGGGTGTGAAATTTGCTAGCAGCGGTCCATATGATGCGGATGGCCAACGGCGCCAGGGGGATACCGGTACCCCTGGGGTGGAATTAGCTACCGAGGCGTCTGTAGAAGAAGGAAATCATACCAAAATGTCGAGTTGCAAAAAGACAATAAGTCCCCGTGAGGGTCCCGGCCTAGCCGGGGAATCCCTCCCCGTGGGTAACCTCGGGCTGGCTCACGTATGCGGGGAAAACCAACAACCGCTCTGATATCGCGGCGAATGCGAAGACGGTAGAGGAGGCGGCCCATCTTGTGTTTCACGGCCCACGCCGCAGGATCCCAGCCGGGCTCTGTATCCGAGTGGAGGGGGTCCGAATGCCAGTCGAGGGAAGCTTAAAGTACCTCGGCTTAGTGCTGGACTCCCTATGGAGTTTTGAGGAGCACTTTAAGCTCCTCGCTCCACGGTTGTGTGCCGCTGCAGCTGCACTCGGAAGGGTCCTTCCCAATGTGGGGAACCCAGGGGCGACATGCCGTTGGATGTATCACGGTGTGATACGGTCGATGGCACTATACGGTGCCCCCGTTTGGGCTGGGTGTCTCAAGCCCCGCAAAATAGCCCTACTGCGGCGTGCGCAAAGGGTCATCGCAACCCGGGCCGTGCGAGCATATCGCACGGTCAGTCACGGCGCGGCCTGCGTACTCGCAGGTGTGACGCCGTGGGATCTCGATGCACAAGTCTTGGCAGACGTGCATCGAGATCTGGTCGAAGCCAGAGAGCAAGGCGAGCGACTAGCTACAACTGCGGCGGGTCCGTTCCATCGCGCAGAGAGAAGCTCTGCGCCGATTGGACGAGGCACTCGCGCATGCTGATGCTGGCCACTGGACCATAGAGGCCCTTCGACCGGAATTGGAGGAGTGGGTGGGACACCGGCGCGGTGGTCTCACCTTCCGCATGGTGCAGATCTTGACCGGACATGGGTGTTTCGGTCACTATCTGCACCGGGTCGCCCGTCGGGAGGAGACGCCGCGGTGCCACCACTGCGATGCTTGCGACGATACGGCGGAACACACCTTATTGGAGTGCTCGTCGGCCTGGCAATGACAGCGCCGCGAGTTAATTGCGGCTCTAGGATGCCGAACCCTCTTGCTGCGGAGCATGGTCGAGGCCATGCTCAGCAGCGGGACGGCTTGGGGGGCAGCAGCTTCATTCTGCGAGGGCATCATCTCGCAGAAGGAGACGGTCGAGCAAGAACGGGAGGATAATCCTCTGGCCGCTCCCTGCCGCCGTAGAAGGACAGGAAGGGGAAGGCGAAGGCGTGACCCGCCCAGTCACCCCCCACCTGAACGAATCCCTCGCTGCCCGGTAAGGCGTTAGCCATGCCGGTCACCGACGGATTCCGTGACGGCAGCCCTCTCTTGTAGTTGTCCTACATGAGAGGGCCGCGGAAGGGCCTGCGAGGGGAACGCGTAGGCTATCCTTCCGCAGCGGACGGGGAGCGGCGCGGTGGGCAATAAGCGTTCGTAAGTAGCGCGGACTGCTTAAAGGCCTTTCCGTTTCGCACCCGTGAGACTTGCGAGAGGCTAGGTGCGAGATCCGTTCGTTGGTGTGCCCCTTAAGGGAGCCAACGTCTGTTAATAGAGTTTTTGCCTGCGTAATAAAAAAAAAGGGGAGCCTACGTGGAGATTTTTGCATTTACTCTAACGCGGCAGAATAACATAAACCGGCAACCTTGTAAAGTACTCCCACAATATCTGAGCCCTATATAAAGGGCTTATTATAGTTATTTCACAAGGTGCAAGGTTGCCCCTTATGTTATTCTGCCGCGCTCGAGTAAATCACAAAAATCCCGCTTGGGCTCCCCTACTATAAGAAATCTTTTCTCAAAATGGTTGAGGAAGAAGATAATTTTATACAAATCATAATTGACTGCAGATGCTGTTGTCCCAACTTCTAGAGATCTAAATGTTCATTACAAATCGTACGTACCACAGTATAGGAAGCTCTTCTATTTGGGAGGCGTCTTCTAAAGCCCATACCATAGCAACGTCGCTCAGACGAGTGAAGACACGTATAGCTAAAACAAAAACTATCTTTAAATAAAAAAAACAATCTTATTAATTTCGATACAAAAGAAATAAGATTCTTTTTTTCATGAGCTATTTTGCGTCAAAACTTTGTATTCCTCGATTTTTTTGTATACTTAAATACGGGCATATACTTACACCACCCTTCCTGTGTGGGTGGATTTCAGTCACGAAGATAGAAAGACAGAAGGTGTGCCGTTCCATCCATCCTGACCTTACCGGCCTAAACCCAATCCCTTGCTTCGCGGATTTTGTGTCTAAATTTCTTATTATCTCGCACGGACCTGAAAAAAAGACGGACGTAACCTCGTCTTATCTCGAGTGCAGCATGCAAATGGCCGCCAGCTTACAGCGTGTGCGTGATTTGAGGGTTGTCGGGTAAATTTAGTAGTTATGGGTAGTCATGCTCTCTTAAAAATCTCTTCGGCGGTGTCGTGTGAGGCGGGTCGTTGCGTTCCCTAAAATATGGTTGAGCGAAGCGATGGCTGGTTCATGCGTCATGCTCGTGAACGGGTGCTGCCAGCGGAGATGAGTCTGCTCTATACTACTTTATTATTGTAATGATAATTATTATTAAATTTAGATTTTATTTTACATTACACAACTTGTATTTATACTGTATGACACAGCAATCAAAATATAAGTGAACATTTATTATTTCTCTGATATAGATTTAATGGCGGTGTGGATTCTGGTATGTTTTTCTAGACCTGAACTTGGTTTTGCAGCGGTGTATCCTTGTCATTCTCTATACAGACTGAAAAGGGGGGGACTGATGTTGGATTTGGTTTTGGGTTGGGAGAGTATTGCCAGAGTCGACAACAGTGTTTAGGTAATCACATGCATGTGTCCTGCCGTTGTGTTTATAGTTTGTTATAATAATGTACACTGGTACCTATATATATTTTTTTTTCTATTTTTGTAACATAGTATCCATGTGTGGTTATGAGTAGTCATGCTCTCTTAAAAATCTCTTCGGTGGTGTCGTGTGAGGCGGGTCGTTGCGTTCCCTAAAAAATGGTTGAGCGAAGCGATGGCTGGTTCATGCGTCATGCTCGTGAACGGGTGCTGCCAGCTGAGATGAGTCTGCTCTTAATTCACTGGGTACTATTAATCGTTGTTCTAAACTTTAATCGTTCATTATTATTATTATTATTTTTGCCTAAACGGTAGGACGCGTCATTCCTAAACTTTGTTAAACCACATTTTTTTTTTACATATTTTTATTTTTTATTTTATAGTCATAATTTTTATATTATTTGCATTTTTTTTTGTTTGTAATGAAAAGTGACTTTATTAGTTAGCAAATCTACCGTCGTAAATAAATCTAGAGTCGTCAAATTGAAAAATGACTTCAATATGAGGATATTGAAGTCATTTTTCAATTTGACGACTCTGTATATAATACAGGGAGAAAAAAACAGCCCTTGCTGAGTTTCTTGCCGGTTCTTCTCAGTACAAGGTCTCCCGCCGTAGATTTGCGAACCGATGGCGTAGCTTTTCGACATTCACAAGTGCTTGTAACAGCCTAGACTGAATAAACGATATTGAATTTTGAATTGAATTTTTTTGAATTTTGAATCATCAATTTCCCTACTTTTTAAATCTCCCAAACTAAAATATTGTTAACATTATGTAATCAAATATCTTTATATATATAATTCTTCTGTGAGTGTGTATGTCACTGAACTTCTCTTAAACGACTGGACCGATTTTGATGAAATTTTTTGTGTGTGTTCAAGGGGATCTGAGAATGGTTTAGATTCACAATTTTGTCCGCTGGACAACCCCTATTTTTTTAGGGCGGTACGAAGTTCGCTGGGTCAGCTAGTATATTATAAATACGGGACATTTACCACGTGTTTTACTCGTTGTGAGCTCCTGATTTTTCAGCAATTTAAACGGTTGCACTTCAGAAACATGATGTAGGCTATCAAATTAATTTTTAGGAACAGCAAGATAGAAAAGAAAGCACTTGTTATGTAAAAAGAACTTTATAAATGTTAGTGTCTTAATATTAAGTATGAGGTTAATAACATACATTAATATACATAAATCGCGCAGATTAATGCTTAAAATAAAAATATAATAGACTAATATTGCTATTTCTTCTTTCAAATGTAAGTATTTCATTCATAGATTGAGTAGGTATTTAAATACTGACAGAGTGAGGAAAAGAGATATCATGCCAATCCTATACCGTAGAAAGAGACGCAACATGATGTACCTTTAGTCTAATAATATATTTTTTGCAAGAGCCGCAGCGCCCTGTCAAGTCATACTGAGATAAAATTTATTATGAAATTCTGTGAAACTAAGAAAACGATAATGAATATAATAATAATAATAAATAAATATAACACAACACAAATGTGCTTATTACAAACTGAATAAGTATGTGTTATGCTATCCTGTGTTTTAAGCATATCTTGATAAATCGACACTATCACTCGGAATCAAACACCGATACGCACACATGCACAGATATTTTTTTGGAACAGTAGCGATAGGTACTCTGTCTATCTTTACATCCTATATCTATGGTTTCATTTGACATCGTGGTTTAGCTACAATGCGAAGAAATGGCACTACCGTGCAGCCTAAGAAATACAAGAAGAAATTCGTCACGATCATTAAGTTCTCGGTAGCATAGCAATTAGTGCATCCACCCAGACAGCAGAAAATGCAGGTTCAAGTCCTGCCTCTAATTCATTTTGTAATAATTTTGGTTATCGTAATTTAGTTTCAAAAGTTTATTTGTATAGTAGTTCTGTTAACGGGTTTCAACTGTATCTACATAAAACTCAAAGATGACTGACTGACTGATATAGTGATCTATCAACGCACAGCCCAAACCACTGGACGGATCGGGCTGAAATTTGGCATGCAGTTAGATGTTATGACGTTGGCATCCGCTAAGAAAGGATTTTGATCAATTCTACCCCCAAGGGGATAAAATAGAGAATGAAACTTAGTCAATTTTAAACCGATCGTGCTGAGGCTTTGTATGCAGGTATAAGAAGAATCATAGATGAATGTCATTATGTATAATACAACAATTCAGCTCTACACCGAAGCGAATCGAGGGCGGGCCGCTAGTTTTTAATCTACTATATAAAAATAAGTCGGGTTTTCCTTCCTGACGCTATAACTCCAGAACGCACGAACCGATTTCCACGGTTTTGCTTTCGTTGGAAAGGTCTCGGGCTTCGTGAGGTTTATAGCAAAGAAAGTTCAGGAAAAATTTTAAAAAAAACTTCTTTTAATCACCAAACGAAATGTTACATAAAACGAAGCCATCTGGTGGCGAAACGGAGTTCTTTTTCCGCCGTTTCAGATTCTTTACAGGCTCCGGTTTGAACGAAAACCAAACAACGTGTGCACTGCACACAGTACTGGAAGGTGATGGGTTCCTAATTGTTATCCCCTTTGCAGTATCGAATAATTAAAACCCAGTCATCTCTACGGTTTCTATTTCTAGGAAACTTATTAGAAAGAAGGCAAGACAATAATTTATATAAAATATTCTATGAATAATACGGCTTCTATTCTTTTCCTTTTGGGATACGGAACCCTAAAAATTTACGAAATCTGATCTTGCCTAGTCACAAATGCAAGAAATACAAATTTCCCTACTTTTAGGGAAAATTTCCCGTAAATAAAGTAGCCACACAGTTGTATTTTTGTTTACAATTTTCATCCTTGTAAATAAAATCTTTATATATATAATTCTTCTGTGAGTGTGTATGTCACTGAACTTCTCTTAAACGACTGGACCGATTTTGATGAAATTTTTTGTGTGTGTTCAAGGGGATCTGAGAATGGTTTAGATTCACAATTTTGTCCGCTGGACAACCCCTATTTTTTTAGGGCGGTACGAAGTTCGCTGGGTCAGCTAGTATAATATAAAAAAATATCAAGAATCGTTAATACTTAAGCATAGTAGGTGATTCCTTGTGACTTTTTAAATTTACTCCTGTAGTTTTTAAAGGATTTCACCACACATAGACCAGGGTCGATAATTTTTGAGACCAAAAAAAAATTATAGTAGGATGAAACCCATTGGAAAAGGTAGAGAATATAACAAAAATGTAAGGAAAAATAAATTACGGGCGATCTGAGGTCGTGAAGGGGGAGGGGGTGAGTTTTTAAGGGTAAAAACCGGTTAATCTCGATTTCCGGTAAAACTGCAAGTCCTATGAAAAAAAGTTAAATGGCAAAGTTGTAGGTAATAAAAAGATGTACAACTTTTGTGTCGACACTTTTTTCACATAACCTCAAAATCTATGTGAAAAATTCGAATAATCGAGTTTTTAGTTTTTTATTTTTATTTTTTGCAAAAAAAAATCTTTCACGAAACTTAGTGAAAACTTACCTTTGTATGTCCCAAACATACAGTAATTTTTTTGATTTAAAATATTCATTTTTTCACCTTATTTTGACTTAATATCGAAAAAGCACCCTAATTTTCAATCGAAAATGCACCCTAATTTTCAATCGAAAATTCTCACGTCAAAATATCTGCTTTTTAAAAAAAGTTGATGTGTTTTTTGTTTGTTGAAATTTCTACTTTCTGATGGTATAAAAAAAATATACACTACTATGGTAAATGTTCTCAGAAACTGCAAATTAATAATGCTTTTTGGATATTAAGTCAAAATAAGGTGAAAATTTGAATATTTTAAATCAAAAAAATTACTGTATGTTTGGGACATACAAAGGTAAGTTTTCACCAAGCTTCGTGAAAAAATATTTTTTTTTGCAAAAAATAAAAATCAAAAACCAAAAACTCGGTTATTCGCATTTTTCACATAAATTTTGAGGTTATGTGAAAAAAGTGTCGATACAAAAGTTGTACATCTTTTTATTACCTACAACTTTGCCATTTAACTTTTTTTCATAGGACTTGCAGTTTTACCGGAAATCGAGATTAACCATTTTTTACCCTTAAAAACTCACCCCCTCCCCCTTCCCGACCTCAGATCGCCCGTAATTTATTTTTCCTTACATTTTTGTTATATTCTCTACCTTTTCTAATGGGTTTCATCCTACTATATTTTTTTTTCACTTTTCACCATTTTTAAAATTATCGACCCTGGTCTAACAAGGCGGCATTTTTTTAAAAATATATCGGAGCAATTGAACGTGTGACTGGCGCTGTCACGCGAGTTCAAATGGCAGCGGATTGTCCGAACTGGTGCATTAGTGTGAGTGTAGGTAGTGTACAACACACGATTTTGTCTGACCTACATGTCATTGTCATGCTTCACATGATTTGCCTTTGATATTACGTCCGTCTTTTTTTCAGGTCCGTGTTATCTCGTAGTAAAGTTTTGACGCAAAATAGTTGTCAAAACTTTTTTACTCAAACTATTTTGCATCAAAACTAATAATGTTCATCGCATAAAAGACAGTTCAAGAAGTTTGGTACTATTTTCTCAATACTTTTTTGCATAACTCGAGGTTTCGCATACTTTTCGGATGCGTAGTCTAGACTTAAAAATGAATTTTGTAACTACTTTGGACGAGCTACCTTCGCAAGGCTTTTATTGAACGTATACATATTTCATTGCAAGATTATTGAAAATTTTTGGTTGTCCATATATAAATACTTATTCATTAGCTAATTTAATCAATAAACTATAAGTGGTTTCGAATTGGGAGACCTGTCTGAGAAGAACTAGCGAAACGAACTCCGAGTGGTTTTTTGTCTCCTTAAAACTAGTTTTATTTAAGGAGTGGTGTGCGTATAAACATAAGAAATAAATATATTATCTTCTTACCAAATTCCACATTAAGATCGGCAATAGCAGCTTCGCCCATCACCCTCCAGAGCGCTGGCTCATCTACAGCGTCGCAGAATACCCCAGCCTCACTGAATCTCCTGAGCAACAGTAGTTTCTCCACGTGCTTCTGTTGATTCGCTATCCGACGCTCGCCGTCTGCGTCCGCCAGTCCGGCGGTATTGTTCAACTCCAATGATATTACATAATTTTCTTACCAAATTCCACATTGAGATCGGCAATAGCAGCTTCGCCCATCGCCCTCCAGAGCGCAGGCTCATCCACAGCGTCGCAGAACAACCATGCCTCACTGAATCTCCTTAGCAATAGTAGTTTTTCCACGTGCTTGCGTTGGTTCGCTATCCGACGCTCGCCGTCCGCGTCCGCCAGTCCGGCGGTATTGTGCGACTCCAATGATATCTTGGTCACACTAAAATATACACAGAACCTTAGATTAAAATAAAAAGGGAAGTTACGGCACTCGTGGCTCAAAAGTGATCCGCTTAAATTGTGGTGCATAACCACAATTCGCTTTAGTCACAAATGGATAGACACGAAGCATCTGCACTCAATATAACTATATTGCGTATATTCTGTGTTATAAAAATAAAATAATGCCTACACAAATAGTTCAAGATGAAATAACAAATGCCACGCCAACACTTTTCATTCGTAAATAAATCATTTTTTTTATCAAATATCACGATTTGCCATGAACAAGGTTATATTATCTATACAGTATTGTGACTCGGCCCTGTCCTTGAAATAACTGCCTACGGCCGAGCGGGTCGTATCCACGCGGTAGGGCTGCCCGCCTACAGTATTTTAATTTCATCTACATAATTGAGTTTCTTTCTAGTTTTGTGATTGTAAATATTTTATTTCATATGTTAAAAAAAAAGAAACTGTAAATGGATTTGAGACAGAAAAATATTAACGCCGCGACTGAGACGTACGAAAAGCTTTTATTAAATTTAATAGTATAATAAATACGCATTCCTATAAAAACTTTAATTATTAAAGAGTTCAAGCAACTAAAAACAGCACAATATCCACTATTGCTCTTTATTTAAAATTATTTAACGTTATGCGTTACATAATTCATATTATTACCCTAAAATACACTTAAATTTAATATTTACAATGCCTAAAACTAAATAATAACACTATTAGATTTAATTCTACACTAAAAACTACTTATAAAACACAATTTTACTATAACTAAATTATTTACAATTCATAATAATATTAAAAATCAAATTTGCTATTTACAATAATAAAACTATTCAGACACTAAAATGCAACATAAATTCATCAAGCGGATTTGTATACGTAAACTCGCGCGATGCAACATTTTAGCGCTCCAAGCAGGATCTTTTGTTCTCGCTAAGCTAAAACTGCATGACCGGCCGCCCGCCATTTTTCATTTCATTTCTCGATCTAATTTGAGTGAACGTACGTCACATAGAATTTTTTGGTCTCTAATATGGGAAAAAATTAATAATCTTTAAAACTCGTAACCATAATATAATATATTTCGTGATCGTCGCTAACCGTTCCTCAAATAAATAACACGATAAATTATTGTGAAGTGAGTGTCAACCGCCCCGAAACTGGGTAAGTGGTAATTTTAATGTCGCAGGCAGTTACAGTAGTTATTAGTGTAAGAAATCATTTTCTAACCCAATGTTTGTGTTTAACATGCATTATGCATATTAATATAAATCACATTTATATTGATTTTGCATACTTTTGCTACATAAAGATTTCATCGTCGTTTAATTCCACCCTCATATTTCAATAATTTTAAATATACGTAAATTTCATTATCAATCCATTTATTTGTCGAAATTGTAATCTCCGTTTCTGATTGTGATGATTCCACTGCACTACTACTACAATTAGGTACTTTCTTTTACGACGTAGTGCCCGTGGATGTTCGCAAAATAGTACTGGACCGCTTGTAATTGTATTTTAATGGCGCGTTCCAGGGTTCAACGCTCGGGATACCAATTTGGCCGGTATCACCCCACAGCCCCTACTTCCACCACACGAGAGTGCTCTCTGCCGGGCTCAGCTACCCGTTCCTGCAGCCTCCAGTCGCCAGCGGTTTTCATAACGGGACTCCCGGGATTACCAACTACCCGGCGTTACACAGGAGAGTACCTGAACCGACGAAGCCAAGAACTTGTGTGGATTAAGTGCTCAACCCCACCTGTATAATTTTTGATTTCTCCGGCTCGAGTTTTTTTATTAAAATAATTATTTTGCATGGTATTCTGTTGTCTCATTTCTGACCTTAGTTAGTAGACCAGGGTAACCGTGACAGGTATCTACTTAATTCAATCAAATATTCACAATACAAACGTTTAAACACGGCTAACTGCTTAAAAACAATTCACACCGTTCGGTCGTCGCTGCGGCGCATTCGCGACTGGATGCCCACCGGGTGCCGCGCGAACTCGAGTGGCGTAAGTATGACACGCTTTCCGACCGTTTGTATGAAGAAAGAATACTGTATAGATAATATTACCGTGCCATGAATGTTAGTTACTGATTCGCCATTTTTTATCAAGAAATTGACAACAATACAACTCGACCGTCTGTCGAGAGAAAATAAAACGCAGTCGGCTGCAAAGCGACGCGGGCACGCGCCGTTTCGCTCGCGCTGCGTTGAAGCGTACAATTCTGTCTCGCTCGCTCGATTGAATATTTATTTACAGAAGTGTGAATGTGTGAGTGTTTATTTATTTATTTATTTATTAAAGGTCTGCCAACATTTTTACACCTTAACTAACATAATCACACTTATATGTAACAATTTTCAGCATAGTGCAAAAACAATTACTGGCAAACTCAACATGAACAAAAAAAACGGAAATACATATATATATAAAGTATTACACTGGCATTATAACTAAAGGATATTTAATATAATTCTTACATTCGTCTATTCGCCTGTAACAACCAACTCACCACACCAATATCATAAATAACCATTGCATATTCAAGAAACTTAAACTATACTAAAAACTAAAACAAAAATGCATTAAAACACTAAGTTAAATAGAATATATATTAAATTAAATTTGAATTTGGCTTATAGTTGGGGTTCTTATCAGATACAGTAATTTTCGAAAACGTAACAAAGAAAGAGCATACAAGTCAATCGATCTACAAAACCTATTATGTTCGTCACACAGTCTATTGAGCACACTATGTGCGCCTAACTTAGTTCTAAAGAATTTCAATGAAAAGGGTTTAAAATTTACCATTCTGGTGTTTGGTCGAGGTATTTTAAATTTCACATTACTTAGTAATTTAGGGCACTCTGCTACACTGTTTACAATTTTATACAACAAGACCTGGTCGGCCACCCACCTACGATCCTCCAGCGAAGTAAACTTGAAATAGTCCAGTCTATCCCTGTAAGATAACAAATTATATTTTTTACCCTGATGCACAGACAAGAAAAATAGAAACTTTTTTTGGACCTTTTCTAATCGCTCTATATGACAGTTATATTTAGGATTCCAAATACTCGAGCAATACTCAAGTGAACTGCGCACCAATGCAAAATAAGCATACTTTAGAGCATCAATTTTCTTAAAACGCTTGCAGTTACGCCATATAAAACCAAGAAGCTTTAAAGATTTTGCTATGATGTGATCATAGTGATGACGAAAAGAAAGCTTACGGTCTAAAACAACCCCCAGATCACGAATGCTCGAAACTTCTTCTAAAAGATGGGAATTGATAGAATATGATGTATTTAAAGCGTTGCGCTTTTTTGTGAATTTTATGTGTTTGCATTTGTCCGGATTTAATGGTAGTTTATTAATTGAAGACCACTCAGCTATTCTATTGAGATCCTGTTGCAGTAATATGGATTCATTAAAATTTTCAATTGTTTTGTAAACTTTTAAATCATCTGCAAACAGTAAACATTCCGAATGTTGAACGACATTGACAAGGTCATTAATAAATATTAAAAAGAAAATAGGTCCTAGATGAGAACCCTGGGGGACGCCTGACGGAACGTAAAAGGGACTCGACTCATAGCCACATGCAACAACTTTTTGACACCTCCGAACAAGATAAGATCGGCACCAATTCAAGAGGGAACCATGCACACCGACTGAATGAAGCTTCTTTAATAATATTATATGGTTAACCTTATCAAATGCTTTACTTATATCAGTGTATATAGCGTCCACCTGTCGGCCCCGGTCTAGCTCCTCTGACAAATCCGTTATGAATCAGGAGAGATTAGTGACAGTAGACGTTTTCTGGCGAAAGCCATGTTGTTGCGAAGCAAGAACAGATTTAAAAGTATTAGCGAAAAACTGACAAACAAGTGCTTCGAAAAGCTTAGAGAAAGCAGACAGTAATGAGATAGGTCGGTAGTTTCGCACATCATTAGATACACCGGTCTTAGGGATTGGCAATACATTGGCTTCGTTCCACCGTGTCGGAAAATTCCCAGAAGAGAGTGAGTGACCAAATATGAGATATAGTGGATAAGATAAAGCAGACGCGCAGCTACGAAGAAATATAGGTGGTACACCGTCTGGTCCGGCTCCTTTCTTTGGATCCAATTCCTTCAGAGCTCTCTCTATACTAACTTCTGATATGGAGATATTGTTAAGGATATTATTTAAGGAACAATCTGAATCGACATCTTGCTTTTGAGATCCATCAGCATCAGCCACATAAGCGGACGAAAAATGCTTAGCAAACGCATTACAAATTGAACTCGGGGTATCATACCTGCATCCATCCAAATACATTTGACCTGGTATAGAATCAATATTTTTACGTTTATTTTTAATGTAACTCCAGAACGCCTTAATATTTCCACAACCTCTCGCAAATAGTTTGTATAACATTTCTTGATTAGGTGATGACATCGAGATCTAGCTTCGCTGTAATCGAACCTATCAACAGGATTATTGTACAATTTTACTTTTTTATGGAGTTTTTCCTTTTCACGGATAAGCTTAATGAGATTTTTGGAGTACCAAATAGGGTACTTATTTGAGCTGCAAGACGACTTCGGAACGTGTTTTATTATTGAATCAACTATCGAGTAAAATATTTCAACCATGGCATCAACGGCATTCGTGTTCTTAAATTCATGATCCCAATCAATAGCGGATAAATCTTTGTTAATATCTGAATAATTTGCTAGCTTGAAGTTAAATTTATTAATAGTTTTCTTTTTCAAAAATCGAAGTGGTGAAAGATTAACAGAGATTTCCAAACCCGGGTGATGTGGATCTAGATGCACTAGGGGGTCAGTGACAGCCAAAGTATTAATTGAATTATTAGTTGATATTACCAGATCAATGATTTTATTATTATAGTTAGGGATCTTATTGAATTGTGTTAGACTATGTAACGACAAAAAGTCAGATAGTGACTGGTCAA